CTTGAGACCCAAAGCTGTCTGACATATGAAACCTGATGACATCCTAAAACGTGCAACACCTGTAGCAACTTAGCAAGGTTAAGCTAAGGGGTTTCTGATAAAGTGGCCAGGGAAGTGTATACAGGCTGTGAAAGCCACACTCACACCAGCATCACACCTAGTAACATGTCGGTGTCACTGCTGTATTCAGAGTGGACCACCACTCACATAATATCTGGTCAGTGGTGGTCCTTTGAATGAAGTAAGGGGGGCTGATGATGTGCAGTAACAGATGGACTATATCCTGCAATTGTTAACCTACAAAGTGAACCCATACAGGCCCATTTCTTATTTTACCCCTACCCCTTGTTTTCGAGTGTCACCCTAACCCATTTGAACTGAGTTCCAGGGTAGTGGTTGAAATCTTCCTCTGAAATGGGACCCTCAAATAAAAAGAGCATCACTTCATTAACAGCTACCAGCGCTGCTCTGTAGGCGACCCTGCCAGTCTGCAGTGACAGCAGAGGAGGGTAAAGTTCAGCTCCTCACTGCTGGGCTTTAGTTACATTTAGGGCATCATATGATCTTCAAAGAGGGGGGCAATTATTTATTATCACCCACCCCTAATTCTTCAGTGATATGAAGCTGAAGTCTGATATTCACCAGATTCTTGCTCGAATTTTCCCGTTCCACCTTAAATGGTGCAGCAGTTCTGATGCCTGAGGTGCCAGATTGTAACTGCTGGACTATTTAAGGTGGAGCAGGAAATTTAGCTACTGAGACGTTAGAACTACTAGCAACTTTATATGCTTGTTATAAAGAAACAGACCAAAATACACTGAAACTGTATTAAACTAAGATAATACAGTGGTTATTGTAACAGAGCAAATTCTCACATTTGTGGGTTTCTTTGGTCTCTTTTTCAGTCATCTTGCTGGTTTTTCTTCTTTTCTCATAACTCTCTGTTTGGAGTCTCTGAAAAACCTCCGTTTGGAGGGTCATGTAGCCCCAACACTTCACCCCACCCCTCTATCTCAACAAGAATCGGGACACCCTACCCCTAGACATGAACACACAAAACAGAGGGGTAGGGTTGAGTGGTAGGGGCGAGGGGTGAAAAGGGATTGGGCCATAGTTAGTGTTTCCAATAAAGTGGCCAAGGAGTGTATATACAGTGTATGTTTAATTATATAACACATTACAGAGTCAATTACATTCACTCTGAGTTAAAAACAGTGAAACCTTAGCAGCCCTTGTCTGAGTCCTGCTGCAGGAACACAGTCATTCGGATTGGGAAGGGAGGAGAGCAGGTTTCCTTCTCTGCTGTTGCTTAGTGACGTGCCGGCCAATCAGAGATCTGTGGACGGAAACATTCTGTTCCACTAAGGACGATGCCTGGGCCGTCTGGCAGGTACAGCAGGTCAAGTTAAAGGCACGTTTCAGTGTTTTTTCGTCTAATCTCTATCTGCTGCGTCAGTGCTGTACGATCGATTACCACAGATGATCATTTCAGCTCAACAGAAAACAAGTTGACTCAGATTACGCTTATAACAGAAGCCAGTGGGCCGAAAGAAATACCCACTGAGTTTTAGTGTGTTTTGAGTTGGTTTTCTGCTCTTTTCTAGTGAAGTTAGTCTGCAGTAATCCACACACTACAGATTCAGCAGATAGAGGTGGGAAAATAAAGGATTTCTTTAGTGGACAGACCACCTGTCGTCTACCGCTGAATCGCTAAACAGAAGCATGGGCACCGGGCACTGCCTCTAACGGGGCAGTCTGGGAGAGATGATGCAACACTCAGAAATACTGCACAAACATACGAATACATACTTAAACACAGACACAGGTAAACACACACTGAATGTCGAATTGGGAACATATACATGTTATGTTACTATACTACTAACTATTCAATTTTATGAATATATATATATATATATATATATACACACCGATCAGGCATAACATTATGAGCACCTCCTTGTTTCTATTTTTTCAGCTCCACTTACTATATAGGTGCACTTTGTAGTTCTACAGTTACAGACTGTAGTCCATCTGTTTCTCTGATACTTTGTTAGCCCCCTTTTACCCTGTTCTTCAGTGGTCAGGACCCCCATGGACCCTCACAGAGCAGGTACTATTTGGGTGGTGGATCATTCTCAGCACTGCAGTAACACTGACGTGGTGGTGGTGTGTTAGTGTGTGTTGTGCTGGTACGAGTGGATCAGACACAGCAGTGCTGCTGGAGTTTTAAACACTGTGTCCACTCACTGTCCACTCTATTAGACACTCCTACCTTGTCAGTCCACCTTGTAGATGTAAAGTCAGAGACGATAGCTCATCTGCTGCTGCACAGTTTGTGTTGGTCATCCTCTAGTCCTTCATCAGTGGTCACAGGACGCTGCCCACAGGACGCTGTTGGCTGGATATTTTTGGTTGGTGGACTATTCTCAGTCCAGCAGCGACACTGAGGTGTTTAAAACTCCAGCAGCACTGCTGTGTCTGATCCACTCAGACCAGCGCAACACACACTAACACACCACCACCACGTCAGTGTTACTGCAGTGCTGAGAATGACCCACCACCCAAATAGTACCTGCTCTGTGAGGGTCCATGGGGGTCCTGACCACTGAAGAACACTGATGGACTACAGTCTGCAACTGTAGAACTACAGAGTGAAACTGTATGGTCAGTGGAGCTGATTTTATATATATATATATATATATATATATATATATATATATATATATATATATATATATATATATAGCCATTTTCCTAACAAAGTCTCTCTCTCTCTCTCTCTCTCTCTCTCTCTGCTCCCTCTCTCTCTCTCTCTGTCTCTGTCTCTCTCTCTCTGTCTCTCTCTGTCTGTAGAAAATGAGGACTGCTGCTGTCCATCTGAGCCCCCAGACTCTCCCAGCCAGTCATATCTCTGCCTCCCCTTCCACAGGGAGGGCTCTATTTCTGACAGTTACGGCTCCGAAAGTGCTGTGATTGGCCAGGGCCTTGACTCCTCCCCCAGTTATTCGAGGCGGAGCCCCAGTGGGGGTCAGAGGTCAGATGTGCTGATGCTGGGCTGTGGTGCGGTGCTGGCGGCCGTGGGGCTCGGCTTCAACCTGCTGGACTTGGGCAGGCTGGAGGAGGGCGCCCGCCCCAAATGGGAGGGGCTTTTCCAGAGAGTGGGTGGTGGCCAGAGGCGGAGCTCCAGCCCCCCAACTCGGAAGTTATTCAAAAGGGACAGCCCCCTGCGGCCCCCGCCGCTGCCTCCCTCCCTCACGCTCCTCTCTCTGTCCTCTGTTTCGGACTGTAACTCGACCCGCTCTCTCCTTCGCTCGGACAGCGAGGAGCTGCTGGTGCTCCGCCCCCCCTCGCCCCCTCCGTTGATGCCCCGCCCACTCTCCCCTCCCGCACCGTCGCTGCTGCGGCCGCCGCCCCCCAACCCGCTCGTCAACACGCATCTTGAGAGCTTTAAGCGAAACCCTCGCCAGTCGCTCACGCCCACACACGTGCCCGCCGCGCCCAGCGCCACCCGCAGGCTGCACCGCACGCCCTCCGACGGAGCCATAAAGAAGGGCGGCACAACAAACAACAACAACACGCAGCACAGCGCTCAGCCAACACCTGCAAGAACCACACAGGAGCACACAGGTCAGCCATTTATAGTGTTTTATATGAGAGGTTCCAGTGAATGTAGCAAAACACCTACCAGATCCAGCACTGTGCACCTTCAGTTAGTTCATTTACAGCCATTAAGTACAAAATATTCATTTTTCAGCATCAGGAAAAAAGCAGAAAACATATATTTAACAAAACATCACACAGAAGCCTCAGCAGCTAAATCTGCTCTCAGCTGTTCAGTGTTCAGTGAGTCACTCTTCACCTTTATTCCAGCTTCCATTCTTTTCAGGAGCCTCACTTTCAGCTCCTCAAAGAATCTGCAGACACACCTCCAAAGTTCCGTCTTAGAAGCTGGTTGATCATTTTCTGAAGTAATCAATCACATTCAGTGGTGTTGAGGTCTGGACTCTGGGGTGGTCAGTCCATCGTTCAGCTTCTTTGTTTGATGTGTCCGTCTCCTTTTCTCAGTGAGGTTCTTCTTGATCAGCTACACATCCTTTCAGACCCACAGCGCTGAGTCGTCTTCTCACAGTGGAAGGATGGACAGAAACACCTGTGGATGTTTTCAGATCTGATCAGCTTGATTTTCTCCTCTCTCTCAGAGATGAAAGCTTTAAGTGCTGTTTATCTGATGGGGGCAGTTTTGGGGTCTACCAGGTTTTCCAGGTGGTTGTTAGGAGCCACATTTTCTCTGTAGTCTTTAATCTTTTTTTGTAGTTTTTGTTTTGGAATCTTTGTTTTTTTGCTTGTTTTCTTTTGACGTGTTTAAGTGGATTATCTTATATTTAATCTCCTCAGAAACATCTCCTGAAAACAACACAGTGTATCGCAGTGTATTATCTAGTAACATATGTGTTATCTTAACACACTAGTTATACAGCCATACAAGGCCATACAAAACGATACACTGCAATCCATTCAACACAGTACATTGTTGCATCCTTAATATAATCGTTTATTTTCTCTGTACGTGTTCAGCATGTCCTGCAGTGAGTCCGTGGGCAGTGAGAGATGACCCCTCTGAAGTTCCTCGTCTTCCTGACCCAAACCTCGTCTTCCCGCCCACGCCGCGCCGCCGCTGCCAACCGGAACGTCCCAAAACTCTGGACTTCTTAGCCAGGCCACGCCCCTCTCCCCGAGCCCGCTGTGACAGCCAATGGGGAGACTCTCCGGCTCGCACATCCAGCACCGAAACCCCACCCACTGTGGAGTTCAGTGGGGGCGCGGTAGTCCCACCCACCCCGATGGAGCAGCCGACCCCGTGCTCTCCCTGGGTGAATGACAGTCTTCTGGACCAATCAGACGAAGGCCAGTGCAGGGACGGAACCAGGCCGCTTAAATTAGAGCCCATTCTGCCCAGAGACTCGCCTTATAGAATGAGACCCGGATTCTGGTCCTGACTTTGGTGTACGGATGGAATTTAAAGCGATAGTTTGGCAAAAAATCGAGTTTTAATCCTCAGTCATCCAAGACGTGTTTGCTCCTTTAGTCCTACAGTGACTCTACTGTAGAACTAATGAATGAAGCTAACAAGTAATGCAAATACATAACAATGTGTGAAAGTGTGTTGAATAGATTAAAGCACTACAGCGTCAGAAACTGCATAATCGAGTCTATTAGAGTCCGCTGAACTGATTTGGGCATGCAGTTAGCACCATGCTAATTAGCTTCAATCACTTGTTAGCTCCATTAGCCTGGTAGCTCTGGTGGTAAAACTAAAGAAGAAAACTTCAGACACCAAACTTGGTTGGTTGACTAATTTTGGGGAAAGTGGGAAAATTGGGCACATTTGATTTTTAGCCAAACTATCGCTTTAATCCAACTTGCTGCTTCGTTCGTTACAGACCGGAACTCTTATCACAGCCCAGTTTTGCAAAACAGAAGATGGAAGGTTCTCAGTGCTCCAGCTAAGCCTAAACTATGCTTCATATTCTACAGAAATCAGACGGGCTCATGATTGTAACCTGGCGTACGCAGTGTTTTAACCCTTAGAAGTTCACTGACGATAACAAGAGTGTGCTGTAATTTTAATGTTGATCATTTTTACCTCGTAGCTCACTGAAAAAAAGTGTAGAAATCGTGCAGATTCCAAACGTTCAGTCCAGACCGCGTTACTGTATATTAGTACATGAGAAGATATTTTATTTTGATTTGAGCTTAATGAGAAGTCATTATTGTTGTGCATACATTCTTTTTTCCTTTACATTTTGCTATTTCAGCATTTGTCGACATCGGAATAAACGAGAAAAGAGTGAGAAGTGCAGACTCACACCTGTCCATACAGAATGTAACGGTAATTCAATAAGGATGTACTCACTTTTCACAACTGGTGATCCGTACTGTGCCAGAGCATGTTTAACCCCCAAAGTCCAGTTTGTTTGACTAGTGTGATTGCTGACCATGCCTGAGCACGGAACTTGAACATGGCATCAGTGATGCAACTTATTTGACAATATGTGGGTTCGACATTTGACAATATAACAGGTCCGTTTCTCACCTTACTGAAGAAGTGAATGTTGGGGAGTAATCCCTCCCTCAGCGTCAGCTGCCTCCGTAAAAACCTTCTTATACATGCAGCGCGATTAACAGAAGATCACTGCATTGTATAATATGTATATGTAAATCTACGCGGTAGCACCAGTGACATGACTCCTGGGGACAACTACTTTCATTATATATTTTATAATATTTATATTATAAGGGGGGGCAGTCATGCTCGGGCACGGTACCAGGCAACCAGGCTGGTGTGAGTGCGCCCTAAATTGCAGAGCAAAACGACAGTAATAACTCTAGACTTCTAAGGGTTAAACAGAAGTGACCGCTGTCTGCCATTATGTCCATCTTCAGTGGTCAGGAAGATCCTGAGAGTAGACCAGCTCCTCATTTCACACACATGAGGACCAAACCACTAGTGCTGCAGGCCTTAGTCTTCTTCCTTAAAGCGATAGTTTGGCCAAAAATGAACTCCCCCAGTTTCCTTCCTTTAAACCGAATGTGCCGAATAGAAAACCCAAAGCATGTTTGCTTCTTTCGTTTTAGCATTGGAGCTACAAAGCTAACGTAGCTAACAAGGCTAACAGGAATGGCAGTTTAGCATTAGCATGGTGCTAACTTTTAAGTAATAGACTCGAGGTGTGTCTCAAAAGCTCCCTAGTTCAGTAGTCAGGGCACTGTCCAGGGAATTGGCCATTTTCTAGAGTGTGTTACTGTCAAAGTGTTCCAGTTCAGAGGGTCTTTCTTTCCCTGAAAGTTCCCACAGTGCACCGAAAAACCAGTGAGCATTGACTGTTCACTATGCTCCCTGACCGTAAACAGCATCACGCCTCCAGCTCGACTTTCATAAAGTGTATTTTTCACACGTGTAAATAAAAAACAATACCAATAATGAGTTTTGGTCTAAAAAGACACTTCATCACTGTTTATCATTCATTATCAGTTTCCTGCTAACTGAAATGTTCATAGCAGCCTGTTAGCTACTTGGCTAACCAGCTGCATTTGTTCCTGATTTAACTTTCTTTATACCTGATTTTAATGTTTGCCACTAACTACCCACAAAATATCACACGCTATATTTAGCCTAATAGTACAACGGAACACGCTACATTTCACAAGTATTGCACTTTATTTATTCATTTTGTGAAAGCATTACATTAAAATCGCCTCACCTGCTAACAGGCTAATAGCTAACAGGAAATATTCTTTAAACCTTTCCTGAAAGGACCACGTGTGATGTAACTGAGAAGTTAACTGCATGTCTATTCAGTTGACATTTGACTGTATTTTAGCTGTGAATAGCTTAGGTGAAAGATGGTTAGCTTGACGCTAGCGATGCTAACGGAATTAGCATTTATGCTAGCGGAGTTAATCGCCTGAAGAAATGCTTATTTGCATTAAACGCTGCTGTGAGTGACTGACGCACGGCTGTGTCTGATCTCAGTGTGAAAAAAAGGGAGTGTTAATGAAATGAGTGTAATATTCATCCTAACAATGCCTGTGTGGCTAAACACAGCACAATAGATGAGCTTCCCGGTGTGGCGCTGCTATCAGAAGAAACCCTCATCTCCATTTCTGACGTTTTTCAGTTTTTGATATAATCTGAAAATGCCTGCTGCCAATGAATGAATGGACCAAAAGAAACGACCCAATATGACTTGGAAATAAGTCTGGTTCCATTAACTCAGGCTACGTTCACATTACCAGGCTGAAGTGGCACAAATCTGATTTTTTTCCCTAATGTGACTCAGATCTGATGTTTTCAGGGCTGTGCGGACACAAATTTGATCTGTTCAAATCCGACCTGAGCCACTTTCATATGTAGTCCTAGATTAGATACATATCCGATTCGGGGCAGTGTGACCTTAATGTGACGCTCAGATCGGAATTCATGTGCTTTTTTCCACTGCGCTGCTCCGTCATTCAGCGTTACCATGGCAACAGCGCCGAACAGAAGTTAAAGCCTGTAAACGGTGGAAAAGCAGCTCATCTCACCTTTTTCTCCTTCGTCTCGCTCTAATAATGAAGCTGAGAGCTGATCAGAGTTAATTATCTTCTCAGCGAAGCTCGTTCTGCTCGTTAGTTTGTGCTGATGATGAACGTGATTTATTCACGTGACGTTACTGAGTAGGATGAGCTCATGAGGGTCATTTCAGGACGCCGGTTCGTCACATTAATGACAGATTTGAATCGCTTACCTAAACGAGTGTGAACCATCGTGTCAGAGAGATTGGATTTGAGCGAAAATTCGGATTTGAGCAACGAGGCTTGTAATGTGAACGTAGCTTTACATTAAAAGTAAAGTATGTTTTTTTCCTTCTCCTGTAAAGTTACCGTTTTGGAGATACGAGGTTTTGTTCCGACAGCAGTGATGTGTTGCTGGTACTTTGTGGTTAAATACTTTTTTCGCGTCCATGTCATGTATGTAATGTAATTGAGTCGTCAGTGTCCCAATGTTTCCATCTCCAGGGACCGAGCCAGTGCCCGAACTCATATTCACTACATAAGGAACCAGTGAGAGAATCGAGACACAGCCTTGGTTATGTGGTTTATGACGCACTGTTATCTATAAACATACGCTAAATGTATGTCACATAGCTAATTCGTCTACGTTAGCCTTGTAGCTCCAGCGCTAAAATCAAAGAAGCAAATGTCAGACCCCAAACGTGTCCCGGCTGGTCGACTACATTTGCAGTAAGAAGGAAAACTGGGTGGACTTGATTTTTTGGCCGAACTGTCTCTTTAAGCACTGTTATAAATTCCCTATGCATCACAATACACTATAAGCTACTGACTGACAAAGAGGATGTAACCTCAGAATTGTATCTTTCTATGTTATTTGAACTGAATCGTCTGGATTGGAGTGAATGCTTTGATCCTGCGTGTCATATCGAGCTCATTTATGTATGTTTTCCCTCTGTAAGCACTGGTGCTGCACAGTATTAGTATCTGTATATACACAGCACTGCATGTAGTGGATCTGGTACGGTACCGCTCAAACGTTTGGACCCACCTGATGTTTTAGAGACATTTTGATCTTGAGGCTTAAGCTTCAATGGTTGGAATTTGCTCCTAAATCAAATTTAAATGCTGAAGTCGATACCTGTGTATAAATTAGCTGGGCCTTTGAATAAACTAAAATACTACAGCAATTAGCTCCGCCCACAAAAAACCTGATTGGCTGAAAAGCATTCTTTCCTTGTTGTTATGTCCAGTACCGCCATTTTTTTTTTCCGCCGTCATTCTGCTGACCACTGGTTGCTAAGCAACATCAAAACGCGCTTTATCCTAAGCTGTTGGTGCCAGAGCCGGTTTATGAGGAGCCTGGCCACTTCCTATTTCCCCCGTTATATCAAAAACAGGACTGCTAACCAGCAGAGGGTGCCCACGAGTCCTCATTGAATGGGAGTAAATGGAGCTAAACAGCTAAAAATGAAAAGTTGAAATAGTTTCTAATCACTCACCCAGAACGTTTCTTTAATTTTAGAAAGTAGAAGGATGAATTTCACTAAAACAGCAAAGAAAACTCACCTGTATGTTTCCTTTATTCTACAGCAAACAGGTTTTGGGCAGCAGAAGGCGGGCATTATTGCTAGAGCGTGATGATTGGCGAGCTCATTGGCTGTTCGCGCTCACTGACGTCATGGACATACATTAGGGGCCGTTTTAAACTCCTATAACTCGAGTTTAAAAGCCCTTAAAAATATAACAGCAGTGTTAAAATGCTTTATGCTGCTCTGTGTTCAGGAAATGAATGAATTCTTTTACATTAAAAATGTTTCAGCATTTATAAACTATGATTTTGCTCAAATGCTCCATCTTAACCCATTCATTTTCGACTCGCTCAGGAGTGCCCTCTAGCGTTTGAGAAACGCTTGAAGACATTACAGAGTGTAATTCTCCTCTC